GGGGGGGGGGGGCGGAGGACAGTGCAGGAAGCTAGCAAGGGTGCCAAGCAAAGCCCAGGCCGGCACGCTGGCGGCGGAGGGCGGCCCGCAGCTGGGCTACTACCTGTCCATTCTCCAGGACGGCTGCTGGGTACATGGCGCTGCTCGGGCGGTCCCGGTGCGTGGGCAGCAGCAGCATCATTTCCCGGGCGTGGCGGTACTTATCTGGCAGAGAGGGAGAGCCTGTAACCAAGTGACAACAATCACGCACAGATGACGAGTCACAGACGGAGCGCCTGCAGGCGAGCGCCCTGGTGCCAGGGAACTGGAGGTGAGCCTTGCGGGGGGTGAGGAGGAGCTCAGCAAGCACAGGAATAGAACAGCTGGGGTGCACGGAGGCGGGGGCACTGGGCGGTGCAGCCCCGACAGGCCCCCTCCCCAGGCCCAGGCAGGCTGTGAGGACAGCGAGTCTCTGGTGGAGAGGGGTGTGGCCTGGACCTGGTGTTCAGGGGCCCAGCTTATAATGGAGCCGTCACACGGAGACAGACACACCGGACAACACAGCGGCACATTCGTACTGGACACACTGTCTGCTCGCACTCACCTTCTCCAGACACCACGGGCCCTGTTCGCAGGCAGCCTCCTCCCTCCTCTCCCCGATCCCAGGCCAGTGCCTGGCCTCTGCCTGCCCGGCCATCCTGCTGTGGCCGGAAGCCCGGTGGCTCTCGGGTTTCTCACTCAGACCTGCACCTCCGTGGACCCGGGGCCAGGGGGGGGAGTCTGGAAGTTGTGGGGCTTTCCCCAGGCTCTTGGGTTAACTGGGCTCATGCTCCTCTCCTGTGAGGCCACCATGTAACCTCCCCTGGCCCAAGGGGGTCATGATGGTCAGGCCCCGCCGAGGTGGTGTGACCGAGACCCCATCGCTGCCCGGCACAGCGGGAGGCCCCGGCCCTGTGAGGCCCTGTCCTCGAGGGGACCGTCCACAGCAGCAGTGAGAGGAAGCGCTGGCTTCCCCCGCGAACGGGGAACTTGGAAGTTCCTCCAAAGGTGCACACTTATGGCGCCTGGAGGCCCCTGTGGTGCCGTGACAAAGGGGTGCTCCGTGCTACCACTGACGCCCCCAGCTCTGCCTCTGCTCGGGCAGCCCCTCCTCTGGTAAGAGAGCGACGGCTACTTCTTCTGAGACATTTAAACTGTTTCTAAGCTGGCACAGGGCTGCACGGCGATAGAGGTGCCATCTGGTGGACCCTGCATGGCAGTTACTCGCGGAGGGTCCATCACAGCCCACATTTCCCCGGCCCGGTCAGTCTGACCACCCAGGAGCTGCCGACCTGCCGGAGCTGAGGCTGTGCCGTGCCAGCCAATTGGCTCCAAGGTTTCCGAAGCTACAGGAACCACAGCCGAGCGTGGCTGGGCCCCGTGAGGAAGGTCACTCCCGGAAGTGGGGGCGGACTCCAACATGCAGGGTTCTCCAGGGCACTTTCTCCACGAACACCGTCTCCTCACCCATGACACCGGACATACCCCCCCAGAGTGACCACCTCCTCTGTGCGGCCGGCCTCCTGTGCGCCCTCACGGGGCGGATGCTGTGCCTGGTCAGGGGCGGGGCACGGCTTCCCCAGGCGGCCGGCACGTGGATGTAGCCAAGAATTGACTTCCTGCTCTTTCTCACCATTTCCTGCTTTGGCCCAGGTCTGTCTGCTGCCAGAAACGGGAGGGCTCTGACCAGCCTCTCTCTACAGAGAGTCTGGAATTTGATCGTGATGACAGCATGTCTCCAGAGAGGGGACCCTCAACGGCCGCCTCCAGCACACATATGCCCCCCCTCCACGAGGCGGCGTCTCCTCCCCCACCCTGGTCCTGGGTGGGCCTCACTGATCGCAGGGCTGCTACCATCCTGCACAGCCAACGCTGGGGCACACTAGAGCTTCGATGCCACAGCTAATTTCATTCCACTGCAAAGACTTCTATTGAAAAGGTCAAAAAATCAAATTTCACTGCAGTTAACTACTATCAGAATGTAAAAAAGATACTGCTCTCAGAGAACAGTATTTATCCGTTTGAATAAGAAATCAAGCAAAATTTGGCAAAGTAAATAGCTTTTCACAGAGCCGCCTCTCCTGAGTAAGCCTTTCCCAGCAGACCACGCTTGCTGGGTTGTTGTCACTGTTGCTTCAGCGCCCGCACTGAACTGTCATGCTGTCATGATGCCTGCTTCCTCAGGACGCCTGCTGCCTTAACTCTGATCTTTACTCTTGTAACATTTCAGTGGGAAAGGACTGAGCTTCTCCTAGGCCAGTGATGGCGAACCTTTGAGCTCAGCGTATCAGCATTTTGAAAAACCCTAACTTAACTCTGGTGCCGTGTCACATATAGAAATTTTTTGATATTTGCAACCATAGTAAAACAAAGATGTATATTTTTGATATTTATTTTATATATTTAAACGCCATTTAACAAAGAAAAATCAACCAAAAAAATGAGTTTGTGTGTCACCTCTGACACGCGTGTCATAGGTTCGCCATCACTGTCCTAAGCGGTGTCCTCCTGAGTGGAGAGGTGAGAGCTGGCTACGTGGGAGCAGCTCAGAGCGGGTCTGACGCCAGTTAGAGAGCGGTCTGGAGCTAGAGACCTGCGTCCTGAGCGCTAGGAGCACAGGTGCGCATGCTCTCAGAAGCCACAGGTGAGAGGACAGTGGGGTCACGAGGCCCTTCCCCTTCTGCAGGCGGCACCTGCCCCCCTTACCTCGGGCACTGGAGGGGGCAGAGGCAATCATCTGGGATGGTGCTGAGTGAGTGGAGCTCAGGCTGGAGGAGGAAGGGCTTGCCTGGGACGAGGACAGAACAGACACGTTGGTGACTGAGCCCTGGTACCTGGGGTTGGGAGACGTGAGCTGCAAAGGGAAAAAATCAGCAGGATAGAGGTCTGAGTGGCCAGAACTGTGGAACTGGCCTAGACTTGGCTTCTTCATGCCATGAGGTGCCCAGACCTGGTGTCTGATGCTGTACCCTGGGCCCTGATGGAGGCCAGGCTGACGGCTGGCACACGGGCCACCCTGGGTGGCCTGTAGCGATGGTGCCCGCAGGAAGCAGGGCTCAGCTATCAGGAGTGTCAGGCAGGAGTCTGGCAGAGGATCTGCCCCTGGGACTGAGCTGGATTCCCTTCTTGGGAAACAAGGCCTGGGAGCCGCCCATAACGGTTGGAGGGAGGCAGTCCTGCTGGCTCTGGGTGTCCTGACCTCAGTAACTGGAGAACTAGGCAGGATGTCAGCCCTGGACCAGGCCAGTTGGCAGAGAGGAGAGTGCCCCCCTGAAGAGCCGGTACCTGCATGTGGTGGTACAGGTCCTCGGGGGCCTCGCCCATGGAGCCGTCGCCCAGCATCACCGCGTTTCCCGCTTCACTAGATGCGTGTGAGGAGAGCGAGGAGGAGGAATGGCGACCTGTGCCCATCAGGTTCATGGGGCTGTGAAGAGAGCAGGACACAGGAAGTAATCAGACCTGGAGTCGGGGAACCTTGCTGGGGGTGGGGGCTGTGGGAAAGGGTGTGAAAACGTCCTCCCAGCCTCAGCCACACTGGATTGGGGGCCTGGAGCAGCCTGAGCCCGCTGCGCTGAGGGCCTGTCCTGGGCGGACTGACAGACCCAGTGGCTCGTGGCCACGCAGACTGCTGACAGCAGCAGGTTCTCAGGGGAACGACAGAGACCCACTGAGTCTGGCCCCAGGCCTGAGGTTCCCCCGTGCTATGGGGGGTCATCTGAGCGGTGCCCACCCTCTGCTGGATCTGCTCCACGGTCAGGGGTCTTGCTGGCATGGGCAAGGCATCAAAATGCCGCTGGGAAGCATCTCTGGGCTTCCTTTCATATCGGTGGCCACAGCTTGCCAACAGCTGTCCTCTCCCGTCACTCCTTCTCAGTGGCTGAGTGCACATCTGGGCTGCCTTGCTGCTCACACTCCCTGGCCTGGCTCCTGAACTCAGAGCAGCCTCACCTCGACATCCCATCACTACCTGGTTCTCTTTCTAAAACCAAGTGGCGATCCTCATTCCCAGGGGATCAGGTCCAAAGGGAGGACAGCACAAGGCCCTCCAGGGCCCCTGGGCCCCCTGCACTGCAGCCACTTGGTTGCTGTGCGGTGCTGACCTGGCCGGCTCGTTCACACCCGGTGAATGTGTGCATCGGTCACTTTGCCTGGGTCTTGCTCCATCAACTCCTCACCCGAACTCTATTCTGCCGTCAAACTTCTATTTATCCTTCAAGGCTCACCCCCAAACTCACTCCGGTTCCCACCCCACCGCGGATCCTGTTACCCAGGACGGCGATGCAGAGCGTGGTCCTTGTGGACATGGGTCAGAGAGCATGCGCGTGAGCTCACAGGCACTATTTCGGACTTCCTTCTCTGACCTTAGATATTCAGTGGAGGGGCCACTCCCAGCCCGACGGCCTACCTGTGCCGGTGGGTCATCTTGAGGCTCTCGGGGCTCATGGGGCTGTGGGATGCGAGGACACTGCCCCGCGGGGTGCTGCTGCCTGAGCATGAAGGACTTGGTTTGTCCAAACCCGGAAACTCCTGGTGAGAGAGGAATGGCCCTTCATTAGAGAGGAAACAGCACGTATGTTATTAAGGCTGAGCGGGAAGAGCAGATGGCGGTAGAAACGTGAAAGGGAAAAAGCCCCGTCCGAGTGCTGTGGGCAGTGACCCCTCCTCAGCATGGAGCGAGCACGTCTGGACGGACGGGTGGGATGGGTCGAGTTCAGGGGAGGGTGTTGAGGCTCCCTCACTGCAGAGGAAGGAGAGCAGGCGCTGGGAGGGGGGG